GTTTACTTTAGTTATTTTAACATTTAAATTGAACAAATAACGGAAGATAAGTTATATGTATAACATTTAATTAGCGACATCATGTACATATAGTATAAACATATATAGCATCAATCATCACAACATTACATCAACAGTACACATAATCTATATACATCAAAATAAAATGAGGAATACTTGATAGACATCCCTCTTATATATATAATATTCAAAATGAAAACATGGCAGATGTATTTGTATGCAATTATAAGCTGAATCTACCCATTCAACATTCATATGTTATAATATATACAATATTATAGTTTTTAGCGATGTTATTCAGATATCTTGTTCCCTACTCATTTGCTATTCTCACTATACTTTATATTTAACAGGTGAGTGGTGGGGTTGGTGGTGGTATCACCACTTTTTGAGCAACACAAGTTGAGACGTCTTTCCGCTGCAGAGCCTGGGAACACAATGACGCTCCCTCCCAAAATGTTTAACCAATCAGAAGTCTCTATACTTAGTTGATATATCTATAGAATCGTCTCCCTTTCACATATCATGTTACCTACATGTGCCCCTTGCATGATCATGCCGTGGTCACTACATGTACATCTACACTACATCTACACGCTGATTAGATCAGGAACATCGGCTGTATTCGGCAGTTTCTAACTGCAGATGCATGCAAGATTTTGGTGCATTCACTTGTTACCTCTCGGTTGGATTATGGTAACGCCCTGCTCTGTGGTATATCTGACACACTAACTAGTCGTCTGCAGAGGGTTCAGAACACTGCAGCACGGCTAGTTACTCGTACTGGAAAGAGAGAGCACATCACACCTGCGCTTTATTCGTTGCACTGGTTACCTGTACGATACAGGTCGCAGTACAAAATTCTGGTATACACATACAAGGCACTGAATGGAAAAGCTCCTTCGTACCTACAGGAACTTGTTACCCTGTATCAGCTGTCAAGATCACTGCGGTCGGAGTCAGAATCTTTGTTGTGTGTCCCAAAATCTCGTACTGTGACCTACGGAAACAGATGCTTTGGGAGGGTTTCGGCTACGTTGTGGAATAGCTTACCATCTGCTATTAGGAAGTCGAATACCCTGGCCAAGTTCAAGAGGGACATAAAAACTCACCTCTTCACGTCTGCATTTTAGAATCTTTGCAAAGACGTCATGTAAATACCACCCTTTTATTTGTTCAATTATGTGCACATTGCTTGTTAAATGTATGAAAGTGATTGCAAGCCTTTGTTGTTTGTTTTCACAATTATAACCATTACTATTATCCATATGTTGTAAAGCGCCTTAGAGTAATTTTACAAATTATATAGGGCGCTATATAAATGCTGTATATTATTATTATTATTATTATTATTATTATTATAATAGAATAAAATTATATAATTGTAGTCTGCCGTTAGATAATACCATTTGGCCATTTAAACATGGCTTATATACATAAGCCTCAAGTGTAGCTTGTGCTCTATTTTCATATTGAAATAACTATACAAAGGTTATAGTTATTTTTATTGGTTTTTCATCTTACATTTTGTTACAATTCACTAATCGTATATAGACGATAACTACATCTCTAGAAATACGCAGTTAGGAGGTGCCTATTAAAATAATAATAATAATAATAATTCGAAGTTCTTATATACCGTGTTATCACAACCTAGTTCGTAGATCGTCTCAAAGCGGTTCACAAATATCAGCCAACATATTTCTCAACTCCCTGGGGAGCATACAGCCGGTGCTGTTATTTCGGCGCTCACAGCTAGCATGCAACAATTCTAGCATTGCCCAATCGCGTGCTCATTTACAGCTGAGCGGACTGGAACAAGCGGAGTTAAGTATTTTGATTAAAAATACGGTGCCGGGTGACTCGAACCCGCAACCGTTCGGTCCCGAGCCCGGCGTCCTACCACTAGACTCTCGACAAAAATAGCCCGAAACGTAGCTCTAAATATAGTATAACAATACAAATAAGAATGTTAATAATAGCTTATTATAATAAAATGTAAAATGAATAAACTGTATTCTATTATTTTGTGTGTACTGTTAAGGATGAAAAAGCTGTGCATTTCAATGATTAGAATTTCAGTATTGCTGCAATGCCCACGTAAAATGTCACAGGCAACAAGAAAGTTGTCGTCAGCTCCTTCCCAACTGCATTATTGGCATGTGCTTATTGATGTTATTACAATGTAACACTGCCATTCCCATAGTGGGTTATCTCTACCCCGGATGAGACATACCAAAGTCATTACAAATGACATTAGATATTCCCTGCTAGACGTTCAGCATTTAGGGTTAGCGCAGTGACTGGTCTACCCGTTGTAAGCGTTATGTGACCGGACAGAATACTGTGTTTGATGTCTTCGGCATGTTATTTCAGTTAGGTAGCACTCTTAAATCGGCATTGGATCAGCGCTATCTCAAGGAGGCAAATACTCCAACAAACCGCCTATAGCAAACACGCATTCATTTGACACATGCCGACCGGTTTTTGAATGAAAGGACGCTAAAACATATTAACTAAACCAAACCAAATGTCTGTCATATAAAGAAGCACAATAATGGTATATATGTTGTCACAGGTTTAATAATCATCCGTATAAATTATTCTCTCACAGGCATAACAACATATATATCTTAAGAAGTTAAAACAACCATTCAGCATAGCATAATTATATAAAGCAACTGTCATGCTATCAACCAAAAAGTGACCGATAAAAGATATCAAAATATATGTTTATATACATGATACAAATGTGCCCTTCAATTGTACATACCAGTATTTCAGACATACTGCAATAGCATACATAGACAAGTAAGAAAAAACACGTTTTTTTAAGGATCCCCGTACCATTGCTAGTCGGTGTAACTACCCACTTTACACTTTTTGGACAATAGCTTTGATAAATAATTTCCGAAAAGAAAATCTCACCTCACGGAACGTTTTGTAAAACAATAAATATGACGTAATAAACAACATATTATTAACAACAGTCTTCTGGGTGTAAAACTGCAGTGGGACGAGATCGGGATTTGAACATCGACTTCAGATTGTTATGTTATTGCCCATACGGTTTCAGCTACCTTGTCATCGGAAATATCTTGGCCAAAACCATTGTGCAGTGGGACAGGAATCCTTAGACCCGAATATCGGTTTCTGAAGTACAGAATTGAGCAAACATTCAACTCATAGAAGTCATGGGAACAACTCTTGTTAAACACTATACCTCCAAATAACATTATTGAAAAATTCGAATCTAAAAAGTATGATTGAGAAACTATTACGAAACTCCGTAGAGAAACAAAAACAGTCGTTAATGCCGGGGTTTGATTTGCAAAAAAATAAATTGGCGCAATAAACACTGCTACCTTAAATAAGAGAACTAATGCAAACACTTCAGTTTAGCGCCAAACAACTATTTAACGGTGTATTTGTGTACATATATAATAATCATCTTTTTTCTATATTATTATAAACAATGATAAAATAACACTGTTTGTATACTGACATATTACGTGCGATGTATCGTTATATCGATTATGATTAATTGATAATTATATCACGTGTAGGCAGTAATATACTGATTTATAACACATGTAGCTACTTGATATATTCATTTATAACACTGATAGTCTGATAATATATCAATTTATAACATTTGTGGTCAATTAATATATTTATGCATAACACGTACGACCAAATGGTAATTAATAACATGTAAAATCAATTAAATTATTGATTTATAATACGTGTATACAATTAATGTATCAATTGATGAGGTCAATTAAATATTGACTTAAACACAGATTATTAAATTCAATAGTAATTAAAAGCACGGGAAAACAATTAATAAATTGATTTATAATACGTGTGATTAATTAATGTATTAATTTATGAGGTGAGTTATAATATTTATCTAAACACGAATAATCAAATAATATAGTAATTAATAACAAGTGATATCAGTTAATACATTTATTGATAGTATCTGTGATCAGTTAATGTATCAATTGATGAGGTCAATCAAATATTGATTTAAACACGTGTTATAAAAAAATATGGTAATGAAGAACACGCGATATCAATTATTGAATTGATTTACCATATATATAATGAGTAAAAATATTAATGATATTTTCTATTGAAACAAATCATATTAATCATTTCATTGATTGGCAACACATGTGATCATTTTATCACATCACAGTAACTTATTAAGCAATAAATATATCAATGCAACGCCGTTTCATAGAAATGTTTACGTTTAATAAATGAAAGTGATGACACTTGTTCCGAACAATCACCAAAGTTGTGTTATAAACCTTATGTAAATGAATTGCATAAAAACAAACACTTCAGTATAGTTGTAAATATTATGTAATTTAATCTCATTTAATGAACAACATACATTTCATATCATAAATGCATGTAAACGATTGTTTTGAATATATCCCATTATGTAATAAACATTCTGTTGTTTTTTGTATATGCATTTCCCGATATTACTAATAGTTTGACATTTTTGTTATGAGTTCATATGTAAATGCAGACACATAATTTATGTGACTTCGTTAAGAATAAATGCTGTAGAAAGGGTGACAGTAAATAGCAATAGGATATATTATTCTCTTACCCTGGACAGGTGTATCCGCACTTTTACCGGTGTGAGATTTCCTTGTCTCACCCTAGGGTTGAGACGGGGGGATTCCCCTTTTCATAACAATGGCATGACGTCACTTCAACAAAACAATAACGTCACGTCAACAATCCGTCAACGTCACGTCAACCCTGATTTTAGCATGTAACGTTATCATTACATTGTGTATATGATACACAATGGTAGAACAGGGTAAGAGAAAAAGAATCATTCATCCCCTTGTAGGTGAGATAGGGGAATCTTAACCCTCGGGGAAAGATTCTTAAGTTGCCAAACACTCGGCAAAGCCTCGTGTTTGGCAACCTCAGAATCTTCCCCCTCGGGTTGAGATTCTCCTATCTCACCCCAAAGGGGGTGAAAGATTCTATTAGTATACAACAGTGTTTTTATATCGTGGCATTAAATGACAGTATACTATTACGGACTGTTATATCAGAATATCTCAGGCAATACTGCAGTATTGACGACATAAGTTCATGGTATAAATATACAGAAAGTATTTGGAAGATAATAAACACAAAACTGTGTCCCTATAACGGAAGACAGGTCCAGCGGCAATGACTATAAGTTTATAAAGATATGTCAATTTGGCATCGATTGTTTTATCGAGCCCTCCCCCCTAATCAATTTCCTTTTATATTACAAATAAATTGCCATTAAAAAGAAAAATCGTGAAATCGTATGTTTTACTGATATCGAGGGGAGATGATGATCATAAACAATTTCGAATGTTTAATTACTAGATATGATGATTGTAATAAAATTTGGACAACTAGAAAACATGTTAACCTTATCTACCACGAAGGAAATACATATATGGGAATGCTTACAGTGACGTATCAATATGTTTTGTGCTAAAAGTTTGTGTAGTACACAATGAGACGTTTCCTTCATTCATAAAAGAAAATCAACGTATCTAAAATAGAGTCACGTACTTCTTTTTACAGGATTATCAATATATATATATATATACATAAAAAAATACCCATGTATCAACAAAAATTGATTCTCTAACTCTTTTTTTCAACTGGGTTTCAACCAAAGAAATCATTGACTCCTTTTCACTCGAATATCGACAGAAATACATGCACGGTAATATAACCAGGAACTACTTTTCAATGAATAAGCAACAGGAGTACAGCATTAAAAAACAATAAAGGACTTTGTTTCAATGGAGTATCAACATCATCGAGTCGACAACCACTTCACAACGGGGTTTCAGCCAAAAAAGTAATTGACTTCTTTTTCCTACTCGAATACAGTTATGGTAATACAAATCGGGACTAAGTTTCAATGAAGTATCCACATAATGGAGTCACTTATCACTTTCACCGGGGTTTCAACCAAAAATGCCATTGACGCCTTTTCACTACTCGAATATCAACAGATTTACAGTCATTGTAATACAATTAGGGACTACTTTTCAATGAATAAGCAACATAAATAGAGTCATTGACCACTCATCATTAAGAAGATAACTTCCTCCATAAAATTTACCAAACTATTCTAACAATATTGTAATTACAGTTGCTTTGCTGACTACTTTACAATAACGACAGCAAGTTTATCCAGGCTGCACATCCGATTTGTCGTACGAATTCGTGTTTCCATAGTTATTCAGACAATTGGTTCTGGAGTCTCAATATGTGTCAGTGGGAAAGATCAACAGCAACTTCTGGAGAGAAACTGTAACCCAATCTGTAAATAAATACAAAACGCAATGAAGTTAAAACAGAAAACAATGTATTGTCAGAATGCATTGCAAACTGTGGAAATGTGAAAAGCATTACAAATTTAAAGACGAGAGAAAGGAAAAACAAAGATGTAAAGATCAAAACATCACAAGAAATATAATCGAAAAAGCAGATAAATATCAACATGTTTTCTTATATTCGTATTAATATTGAAAGCGTGAACAAACTTTAACTTTTATACCTGTTGTTACGTTTTGATGTAAGCTATTCAAGTCTGTAATATTTTAAACAGATTCAAACAAGAAAATTAATTCACAAATAAAGTTGAAAAATATTACGTTCTCAATAAACTAGGACACTTACGGATCCAGCGAGGCGAGTATCTAAAATGGACGCAGGGCACATACACGGCCAGCCCCGCCGCTGTGAACATCAGAGGGTAAAGGTACTCGATACGAGGATTGTTGACAATGGGGGCCACCAGTAAATAAATGGAGGCCAGAACAACAATGCAGGGGATGACTAGTGGTACTCGATAGGGTCGAGGCAGATCTGGCTCTGTGAAACGAAGTATAATGGCCGTCAAGGCAGCTAGGCCGTAGAATATCCAGGCGGAAAAGCTGAAGAACTCGATCAGACTACTGAGGTCCCCAGGCAGGATAAGAATGATTCCAATAATTGTCTGACAAAAAAAGTATTTATGTTATTCTAGTTGGTTAACAAACTACAAGTTGTCATTATTGTAGGAATTTTTCGTGTATCGTGTTTGCATTACACAGTACAACATCAGAAACATCACAAATATCTATCTGCAATCACGACAAATTGAACACAAGAACGATCTAAACATTAAAACGATAATTGGAACCTGGTTCTAAAATTCGGTAAGTTGAACAACGAGGCACGGGATGTGATGGACAATAGTTTAAGATGAAAGTTTTGAAAAGTGTATTGTTTAAACTTCTGCCGTCGGTGTCGAAAAAGATTGTTTACATTTAAAAATAAATAAATAATATATACGTAATCAAAGTCTCTCTCTCTCTCTCTCTCTCTCTCTCTCTCTCTCTCTCTCTCTCTCTCTCTCTCGTTTCTTTTGTAAATATGATGTATATATATGTCATCTTGTAATCTCTTATCTCTTATTGTTAAATTCTATTGGGAAAGGGCTTTATGTAAGTTAGAAAACTTGTGCCCAATCCCAATGTATATTTTGATGCAAATAAAATATGTTTAAATCAAATCAACAACGCAATTAGTATACGGTAGTTACAATACCAGATCATGGCACATGAAACCTAATCAGTATACAAAACAAAACTTTAACAGCACAATACAATGAACATGATCAATATAAGAAAGATCTTATCCTTAAAATCGAACATAACCAGCTCAAGAAACATGTATTCCTCAAATACGATACACGGAACCATTATAGATAACCCTCAAAAATTGAACAGAAATATCGCAGGATATATAATATTGCTTTACACGACAAATATGATACAGAAGGGCCAACAATTGAAATAGAAATTAATTTAATTAAGGCCAATGACCAAATAGCTGGTTCGCTAAGTTTACTTTTGGCCGAAACATCACTGTTAATTTTTGCCAGATTGAAAGAGCTCGACAGTGCAAACTTTGGTCCAAAGGACTCCAGCGGGTGGATAATATATTATACCTATGTACAACATAAAGGCGATTCAGCCGAGGAAACGAACTACAAACCTATACAATTTTATATTAAATATCTGGAATAGAACTAGTTTCAAGCAGGATTGGCCAAATAGGGATCTTGAGATGTTACAGAAATATTACAGAAATTTCATTATGTATTGAATGCATCTAATAAACCATGGTCAATATACATGTATATGTAACGGGTATTATGTATGATTGTGGATTATACTTGATATGGCAAAAACTACAGAAAGTATACATATTGGGGGTTAAAACAGAATTTGCATTGAACACTGAACGATCAATTTTTACAGTGCTACAGAAATAAATAATGAATATCTCAAAACCCATTAATTACTGAATGTTTAAAGTTGAACATAACTTTGGCCATATCTACATTTCTATAGTTAAGTAGTTTTAAAACAGGTAATTGTGGGTTACCAATATAGAACCTGGAAGATATAATCTCATTTGTACGATTTATTATTTGCATAATGTTTGAGATTAATTTCAAAACATCTTTAATTGTAACCTCTATATAATAATGGGGGTTTTTCCAGGTGCTTTATCTCATAAATCTGAACTGTATATATAATTTCGTGCTTTTATGAATACCAAAAACATAGTAAAATTAGAAACCTGCTTCAGCTCTTGTTTGTTATCAAAGTAACAATCACACGTCTATTCATTAAGGCTCTACATTATGTTAATATGCAATATTTCATTTTAATGGCACTTCAAAAATATATGAAAATAAAGAAATGTATTATTTTATTTAGCGAGGAGCGAGTTTATATACAAGTAAACATTTGAAATAAATTTAAATAATTGCAGGAAAATGGTTCCAATGGATGCACACAGACAATACATCAAATACGTTTAAAGCTTTAAAGGGTGCATCAGTTATGCAAATATTTAATTTTGCTCAAGATGATTTTAATGATTTCAGTTTTATGAAACATCCTCTGACATTAGTTCATAGCTGCAAGGCCATTAAATTCCTCAAGCACGAAGCTATTAGGCGACCGTAATCTTATGTACAATTAAAATCTGCCACACAACATTGTATGCAATTTCCTTAATTAAACAATTAACTATCACGCATGTAAATGTCTCGATGCGTTGGCACATGACTGTAAATATTATTTAAAAGCAGTGTTAGTCATGATGTTATTTACAGACTACTCAATTATGTGAACACGTCACAAACGTGAAATTTTTTAAAATATTAAACGGAACTGGATTTGTTCTCCGACGAAGTGTAAGGTCAATGGTCTATAGACGGTGTTTGTGACAAAGTATCTTGGTGAACAATGGTAAGTGTTTGTAACCAGGTATATCAGTGGTCTATTGTTAGTGTTTGAGACCAGGTATATCAGTGGTATATGGTTAGTGTAACAAGGTATATCAGTGGTATATGGTTAGTGTTTGTAACCAGGTATATCAGTGATATAAGGTTAGTGTTTGTAACCAGGTATATCAGTGATATATGGTAAGTGTTTGTAACTAGGTATATCAGTGATCTATTGTTAGTGTTTGAGACCAGGTATATCAGTGGTATATGGTAAGTGTTTGTAACCAGGTATATCTGTGATCTATGGTTAGTGTAACAAGGTATATCAGTGGTATATGGTTAGTGTTTGTAACCAGGTATATCAGTGATATAAGGTTAGTGTTTGTAACCAGGTATACCAGTGATCTATGGTTAGTGTTTGAGACCAGGTATATCAGTGGCATATGGATAGTGTAACAAGGTATATCAGTGGTATATGGTTAGTGTTTGTAACCAGGTATATCAGTGATATAAGGTTAGTGTTTGTAACCAGGAATATCAGTGGTCTATGGTTAGTTTTTGTAACCAGGCATATCAGTGGTCTATTGTTAGTGTTTGAGACCAGGTATATCAGTGGTCTATTGTTAGGGTAACCAGATATATCAGTGGTATATGGTTAGTATTTGTAACCAGGTATATCAGTGATCTATTGTTAGTGTTTGAAACCAGGTATATCAGTGGTATATGGTTACACTAACCATAGATCACTGATATACCTGGTTACAAACACTAACAATATACCACTGATATAACTGGTTACACTAACCATAGATCAATGATATACCTGGTTACAAACACTAACCTTATATCACTGATATACCTGGTTACAAACACTAAGCATATACCACTGATTGATCTGGTTACACTAACCATATACCACTGATATTCCTGGTTACACTTACCATATACCACTGATAGACCTGGTCTCAAACACTAACAATAGGTCACTGGTATACCTGGTTACAAACACTAACCATATATCACTGATATACCTGGTCTCAAACACTAAGAATAGCCCACTGATATACCTGGTCTCAAACACTACCAATAGATCACTGGTATACCTGGTTACAAACACTAACCATTTACCACTGATATATCTGGTTACACTACCCATATACCACTGATATATCTGGTTCACTAACCATATACCACTGATATACCTAGTTACAAACACTAACCATATACCACTGATATACCTAGTTACAAACACTAACCATATACCACTGATATTCCTGGTCTCAAACACTAACAATAGATCACTGATATACCTGGTCTCAACACTAACAATAGACCTCTGATATACCTGTTTACAAACACTAACCATATACCACTGATATACCTGGTCGCAAACACTAACAATAGATCACTGGTATTCCTGGTTACAAACACTAACCATAGACCACTGATATTCCTGGTTAGTGTTTGTAACCAGGTATACCAGTGACCTATTGTTAGTGTTTGAGACCAGGTCTATCAGTGGTATATGGTAAGTGTAACCAGGAATATCAGTGGTATATGGTAAGTGTAACCAGGTATATCAGTGGTATATGGTTAGTGTAACCCGATATATCAGTGGTATCCAGGTATACCAGTGATCTATTGTTAGTTTTTGAGACCAGGTATATCAGTGGTATATGGTTAGTGTCTGTAACCAGGTATATCAGTGGTATATTGTTAGTGTTTGTAACCAGGTATATCAGTGATCTATGGTTAGTGTAACCATATACCACTGATATACCTGGACTCAAACACTAACAATAGACCACTGATATGCCTGGATACAAAAACTAACCATAGACCACTGATCTTCCTGGTTACAAACCCTACCCATATACCACTGATATACCTGGTCTCAAACACTACCAATAGATCACTGGTATACCTGGTTACAAACACTACCCTTATATCACTGATATACCTGGTTACAAACACTTACCATATACCACTGATATACCTGGACTCAAACACTAACAATAGACCACTGATATGCCTGGTTACAAAAACTAACCATAGACCACTGATATTCATATACCAATGATATACCTGGTTACAAACACTAACCTTATATCACTGATATACCTGGTTACAAACACTTACCATATACCACTGATATAGCTGGTTACACTAACAATAGACCACTGATATAACTGGTTACAAACACTAACCATATACCACTGATAGACCTGGTCTCAAACACTAACAATAGGTCACTGGTATACCTGGTTACAAACACTAACCAGGTATATCAGTGGTATATGGTTATCAGTGATATATGGTAAGTGTTTGTAACTAGGTATATCAGTGATCTATTGTTAGTGTTTGAAACCAGGTATATCAGTGGTATATGGTAAGTGTTTGTAACCAGGTATATCTGTGATCTATGGTTAGTGTAACAAGGTATATCAGTGGGATATGGTTAGTGTAACCAGGTATATCAGTGGTATATGGTAAGTGTTTGTAACCAGGTATATCAGTGGTCTATTGTTAGGGTAACCAGATATATCAGTGGTATATGGTTAGTGTCTGTAACCAGGTATATCAGTGGTATATTGTTAGTGTTTGAGACCAGGTATATCAGTGATATATGGTTAGTGTTTGTAACCAGGTATACCAGTGATCTATTGTTAGTTTTTGAGACCAGGTATATCAGTGGTATATGGTTAGTGTAACCAGATATATCAGTGGTAAATGGTTAGTGTTTGTAACCAGGTATCCCAGTGATCTATTGTTAGTGTTTGAGACCAGGCATATCAGTGGTATATGGTTAGGGTTTGTAACCAGGTATATCAGTGATCTATTGTTAGTGTTTGAGACCGGGTATATCAGTGGTATATGGTTAGGGTTTGTAACCAGGTATATCAGAGGCTATGGTTAGTGTTTTTGTTTTGTTTTGGGTATATATAACTGTAGGGTATATGGTTAGTGTTTGTAAACAAGAATATCAGTGGTCTATGGTTAGTGTTTGTAACCAGGTATATCAGTGGTCTATTGTTAGTGTAACCAGCTATATCAGTGGTATATGGTAAGTGTAACCAGGTATCGTAATGGTGTATGGTTAGTGTAACAAGGTATCTTAGTGGTATATGGTTAGTGTTTGTAACCAGGTATATCAGAGGCTATGGTTAGTGTTTTTGTTTTGTTTTGGGTATATATAACTGTAGCTAAAGTATTGGTATTTATATATATATTTACATCCCTTCTTTTTTTTGGGGGGGGGGGGGGGGGGGGGTCTAATCCTCCTTGGGGCAAAGGGACGGGCCGTATAGGGGAATATAGGAAATTCTTCAGATCCTCTTTTTCCTGTAGGGATCCTGACTCACCCCTTGATTGCATATAAATATACCCTGGCTGACCATGTAATACATGAAAATTTCCAGCAACATATGGTTATTTCAACTTCAATTTTGCTAACGTTTAAAGGTGAGGTTATTATAATGATTTCATTTAAGTCCCACAAGGTATGCTTTTCTTTTCAAACTTTATAAGAATATTTTCTTTGTTGAAGAGAGTATCAAATTGTAAATTTGGGGTCCCTGCCGCTACCCCAGGGTTTAGGATATATAGGGCTTCAAAAGGAAAATTGACCAATATTTCAAAAATCTTCTTCAGATTAAAGTGAACTTTTCATGGACATTGGGAGGGGTATAGTTTACTATAGTTTATATAGGGAAATTATGTTTTTAGGCATATTTTGTTTTTAAGTCTAAAGGAAATAGTTCAAATTTCCTTGAAATAATAATGAGATATCAATTTGATGCTATCAGAAAGTAAGATCCTGACTCACCCCTTGGTTTGGAGGGGCAGGTCCCATTGACATATTGGCTAAATAATTTAAAAGTATTCTTCTCTAGACTCCGATTTACTAGATAGAATCCAATACTAGTACTCTTGATGGATGGAAATGTCCATACATGTTTTATCTAAATTGTAAAGTTTACTACCCAAGGGTCATCTGTTGACCCTTTGGAAACGGGTAGATTTTTTAGATTATGTATAATAAGTAAAAACACTTTGGGTACATTTTGTTCAATTTCTAACATGTAATATTATTAGCTTTCTGGTATTGTAAAATGACAGTTAAAGTCCATTTGAAAATATTCATACATTGTAATTTTACCAATGTATTCCTATCTAATATAGCACTATTAAACCCTGACTTTAATTAATTTTGTGATTTTACCTGTACCAACAAGACACATCTTTTTTTAATTTACAATTAGATATAGATTTATCACTTGATATTATTAGCTTTCTGATATTGTAAAATGACAGTTAAAATTCATTTGAAAATATATACATGTACTTTGTAATTTATTCCTTCCTAAAATAACATCATTTAACCATGGGCTTAAATTATAAGATAGCATTAATTCAGTTATTTTACCTGTACCAACAAAACACATCTTTTCTTAATTTGAAATTTGAGATATATATCTTACATGTTAGATTATTAGCTTTCTGGTATTGTACAATGACAGTTAAAATTCATTGGAAAATATTTATACATTGTTATTAATTCCTCCCTAAAATATATTGATTTTAACTTTCACAACAAGACACAAATTTGTAATATGCAATATTTTATTACTTCAAACTTCCAGATAAAGCTTTTAAACACCGTTTCTTCTGTGACTGGTGTTGGCGAAATGTTCAAATACACGCTGGTATGATATTTCAAGCACATTTAAACATAACAATTTATTATGATGAATTTTGCAATTTTCTGCAAACTTAGGCAGGTGTGACGATTTGATTGTATTTAAAGTTTAATTATATCTCAACATGTTGGTCCACGTAATTCTGGTTCAGCATTGAGTGACAATTAAACAATTGTATATTTTGCAAATGATTTGTTAACATTTCATTCTCATAGTTTGAAAAATTTCATGTGTTTATAATATTTGTGTATATGCTGTCAACCTTTAGCTAATATGGCCCGTATGGGCAGAGTGGTGGGGCCCATTAGGGGAAATTCTAGTGTCTGTCTGTCTGTCTTTCAGTACTTTTGTTTCCGGAGGTTATCTCGGGACTCCAAAAGGCCGAAATTTCTAAAACTCCACATATTGATACAGTGCGATACATATAGATGTGCAAAGGACCAGGAGTTTCACAATTTTATCAGGTCAAAGTAGAGGCCTCTGTTACTGTCAAAAACACATTACATGACCCTAAAAGGCCAGATTTTGTTATGACATAACGAAGCAACAAGAAGTCAATTTACCAAAGGTCAAGGCAATCGGGTCAAAGATTAATCATAAGGCCAAATTATGTTTATCTTAACAAAGTTGGTCAGAATTAAATGGGGATCTGCGTATGCAATTAGTAATGATGTCCATATGTCTATCTGTCCTCTGTACGTCTGTTTGTCTGTTACCACTTGGAGATTATCTCAGGAACCAGAAGTTCAAACTGAAATTTCAGAGAAACAGAAGACAGAAGAGGAGAAAGTGTATACTACCAGGTATCTCAGGAATATATAGTTAGTGTTTGTTACCGGGTATTACATTGGTCTACAAGTAAAGTTTGTGAGCATGTATCTCAGTGGTTTATAAATGGATTATACTGAAACGTTAATCAGTTAACTTTCAATTTTTGAATTAAGAACTAATTATCAGACACATTTTGATAAGCGATACATATTAATAACTTGTTAAAGTCATCAACTTAAGTCCTTTATAATTCTTTGCTGAAGTGATGAATATGCATACCAGACGAGTTATCTATCTTGATCCAAAAATCACAGGGCATATTTAGGCGCCATGGATAACTTGTTGATAATAAATAAATTACAAATCAATAGCTTATCACTCAACTCAAAATAAGGATAAATCTAAACAGAACTCTTTGCTACGACAACCACCTAAAAAAAGTATTCAAGAGAAACATATCTATTACAACAGGCTTCAAACCTCGATATCCAGGGATTACCCGTTACTTTCACTCTCTGCATATTTTGAATACACCAAAGCAATATTGAAGACACAAAGACAGCTGTTTTATTGGTGTCAGGTAAGAGAAAATACAAATCGCTAGGCTTATACCTGTCCTTTGAAGATCACTGAGCCTTCAATTTTGCTAGGATATATTCCAGGTTTGCAGAGAGCGAAATTTAGCGTTACACCTGGATATCAAGGATGACAGCCCACTTACCGTAAATATGACAGAGGGTAAGGGAGTTTTCCTGTACACGTGTATATATGACAGGACATTCGGAAGATGGTGGTCTTTGGCAGCCACATACGTCAATCTATACGTTCGGAAGAGGAAAAGACAGTTATTTCCTAGGTTAACATAAGCATTGGGATGGTTTGAATGAGCAACAGTTATCTTATCCAGCATCCAATTATTTTCAATGTTCAACATTATATAGAGGATATTTTACATTGTCTTCAGTGATACAAATACCTATTTTGTTCCTATCAAATAGTTAGACTTACATGAAAATGAAAAATAAGTGTCGAATAAAATGTTGTGTTTCCCCTACAAAATAATTCCCCCATGATAGGTAACAGATGCTTAGAATGGGCATTATAATGGGCTGATGCTGCAGACGGCTTTCCCGAGACCTGAGTATCGTTAAGCTAACCAGGCTTTATTCAGTGTTTTTATTGGTCAAATCAGCAAAAGTGATATTTTTCATTTTTCACTTTCATAGAATGAATAATTTTCATTATCACACTTTTGTTTCTGATAATATACATTTTTTCCCATGTGATACAAGAGTTGTTTGCGTGGTCATAGCAGTTTGCGTGGTCATAGCAGTAACAGTTTTTACACCTACCCGGGAAGATAACTAGATATAAGCCCGGGGCTTATATCACTCCGGATACTATTCTCCAACAAATCCCTACCTCAAAAAGCAAGAAAGCAAGTACGCGTTTTAGATTCAGATATATCTGTTTTGTTTTTCAAATTTTGTGATAAAAAGTGCAGCCTTCGAGCTGATATCAAGGTCCCAGGTTTAATAAAGGGTGTGATATCATAAAAAAGACATATAATAACCTCTAAATATTTCACTGGTAAAAATGTATTAAAAATTGATATTCTACGTTATGCATACCCTTGCCTTTATTTTGTTTTGGATAAAACTGTAGCACAGTTGGGTCAGAACACTTTCGTAGACTGGGTAGCTTACTAGGTTAGAGCAATTCCGTCTTTGCGTATTGCAGAGTTATCTTCTCTTGGAAGCAGGTATTGATTGTTACGTCACTTGTTTGTGAGAGAAACGTCATCAATTTTTGAGAAAACGACGTAATTTTCTCACACAGACCAATGACGTAACAATCAATACCTGCTCCCAAGAGAAGATAACTCTGCAATACGCAAAGACGGCATAGCATACAAACAGGTCCCAATGCCTAGTTACAGTTCTTGGAAGAGGTACATGTACGTGGATCTTTAATAAAAATAGTAACGATCGCTAAAAGGCATATATGGCGCATAGTAATCAAACACATACAATCAATACAATATATCAACTCAACACAATGTTGAGGATTTCGCAGGAGCCGGTTAACTAGGTGTTCATCACTAGTTCTTGCAACTTCGTTAATATCTCCTCGTACATGTATGCATGCACATGTGCTGGACATGTATTTTGTTAAGTTTTGCTATTTTGTTCAATGTTCTGCACCGTGCACAGCTTGTACACAATCATTAATGGGCGACTCTTATAATTCCACTTGCAATCTTAATGTAAATCACGAAGAGAATAATTAAATAAAGCAGCACATGTATAGAACCATTGCTGTCTGCGGCAGACAAATATAAACCACAAAAATAAAAACATTACGTCATTGTTATCTTCATCTGACCGTTTATTAAACAAATGAAAAGTGATATGAATTGAAAAGAAATTTCCCGATATGAATGGCAATAACATATCATGCATATGGTTCGATAATAGTTTTCAATAATTTGCGTTAAATTTCGGAAAGAATTTATCATTTTAAGTTCGAAATAATTTTGATATCGTCATTGTAAAAAAGTAATCAATAAGAATTGAGTCATTTAGATACCAAACATCTAAATGACCAGCGCAGAGTATATGAAATGACTAACGCAGAGGATAAGAAATGACCAGCGCAGAGGATGAGAAATGACCAGCGCAGAGGATGAGAAATTTCTAGCGCAGAGGATAAGAAATGACCAGCGTAGAGGATGAGAAATGACCAGCACAGAGGTTGAAAACTTACGAATCAAGATTAACATTAATTAACCTTCCATGAGTAAAGTTGTGATTATCTGGAATTATCGAAAATACATACTTTGACACGTCATGAGAATTTTGGATTTCGTTATCAAATCATATAAACGAGAGTAAATTAATTAATTCGCTTTCCTGATTAACAGAAAGAAAGATATTATTTCCAACTACCTCAGTTTTGCATATAAGTTAATGAAGAACAAAATCACCTTTCTTATTAATGTATCAATTTCTTATTTAAATACTTTAGAACACATACGCTAATAAAACATAAACACAAATTATTGTTTAATAATTCTTTCTATACACAACAAGATGATAAAAAAACGTCAGTGTGTGGCACAAAGCAAGGTATGTAATAGAAGGAGAATATATTTGTCATCGATAAAGCAGAAAACACGAATCATTTCGAAACACCTGTTCTGATTCTCCTTGTGCTTTATCAAAATACACAATTAAACTCTTTTGTTCATATTTTCCATAGTTTATCCACTTTCAGGTCAAATTATGGTTTTGTTAACAGACTATTATTGTGTTGGTTTTATTTGTGTGTTTTTTTTAATAGTACAGCCTAACAATTAAATGTACCTATAAATTAAGCAAGAACCCTTACATGTTATTAATCTTTGCGGTCAAAATATCTTCAACTTACCGTCCACTCGTAAATATTGTCCCATTAACAGCACCAAAGCATGACAACACGACGCATATAGGAATGATGAAAGAGAAATCTCCTAGCACCCTTTGACCCCATATCTGAAAGAGAGTTAAGATGCATATATATATATTGATACAAATCTTACACAATCTTCTATACCTCGGTTTATAAAAAAAAAAAACACTTTTAAGTATAAGGACTTCGACCTGAAAGTATCCACTTTGTCTACATGACATAACATTAAGCTGTATGATGCAGTGTAATTCATTGTTGGCATATTAAGGGTTGGGCAGAGCTCTTGCAACTAACTAGTCCCTCTCCCTCTAGTTCATCGTTCAAGGTACTAAATTATGTTTACCACAACAAGGAAGTCAACTGATTTTACACAAACGAATTATAATAACTTCCACAGCCACTGGGTTCTTTAACAAAACATGAACCATTTCTATAACTTTCCACAGCCAATGTATGAAACAGCATAGCAAAAACTTATCCAGTAATACTGCAGTAATTACTGTGTCAACCGATATAACACAAAAGTATCCAGCACTTACAATAGCCACTGTGTCAACCAACATAACACGACGGCATATCAAAAACTTATCCAGTACTTACTGCAGTCACTGTGTCAACAGACATAACACAAAAGTATCCAGCACTTACAACAGCCACTGTGTCAAACGACATAACACGACGGCATATCAAAAACTTATCCAGTACTTACTGCAGTCACTGTGTCAACCGACATAGCATAAAGTTATCCAGCACTTACAATAGCCTCTGTGTCAACCGACATAACATAAAGTTATCCAGCACTTACAATAGCCTCTGTGTCAACCGACATAACTCAAATGTATCCAGCACTTACCACAGCCACTGCATCAACATGAAGGACTTCTTCCTTCGACATAACTGAGAAGTAACCGACATTGACCAGGATGTACACTACAGTGGTCAGAGGGATTCCTATTATGATGGAGCGAGGCAAATTTCTGAAACAAATACAGGGGTAGCGATACAAAATACAGATTCACAAAATTCAATAGAAGGTATGTATAAACGATAATGTCAGCATGCAATAACGATATTGCAACAAAGCCTGCTGGGAAAACTCCACTTTTCGTGGGATTTTTAATTTCGTTCAACTCGTTGAACCCACGAGTCTCACGAATTCATAGGTCCACGATGTAATTGCAATTTTTTTTACACAAATTCTCCTTTTGGTTGGGTACTCGTTATCCACAAATGCATGTACCCACGAAATTGTGTTTTGACGAGAAACCAAGAAAGTGTGGCCCCACGAAAGTATCTAAAGCATCTAAGCTGAAATATCACAAACATTCTGAGTCTGTCCCGAGCTGGAAGCAGTACATTAAGTACATTAAATTCACGTCCGTATTTAGGCTCATTATAAAGACGTTATGTAAAAAACACCGTTTATTTATTCATTTATGTGCACATTGCGATGATAATCTATAAAAGTGATTGTAAGCCGTTGTTTTTGTTTCACAATTATAACTAATACTATTATCCATATGTTGTAAAGCGCTATAGAGTAATTCTACAAATTGTATAGGACGATATATACATGTTGTATATTATTATTATTATCATTATTAAGTCTATTGGAAGACTGATAAAACGAAAGTATTCTAGCTAAGACTTAATGAGAATTAAAACAATGGGAATCTATAGCAAATTACAGCTACACAAGGTACTATTAAACTAGTGTTTATAACTCAATTTATATGAAGGGTGTTATGTCACTGATAATAGGGTATGTAAATATATTATATCCAAACGACAATAAATAAATGAACTACAATTGTATTTAGAATGATAAAACTGCAATCCGGCTTGGAAATTAGATCATTGTGGCGACTGTAAAATGTCTTCTGCGTAGATTGAAGTCTAATAAGTGTAAAAATACTGACTGATCCGAACCTTTTATTTGATAAGACTGGTAATATGTCAGTGAACTTATATCAAGAAAGCATATATACCATATTATTCCAGTTCAATACACTTCATCGACATTTTGTCATATTTTCTTCCCCACCCTCTGAATGGTATATACGAGTACATTTATTTGCCATTATAACTTTTTCTCTCACAATTTTCCTCTCCTGCGAATGGTACTTGCATGAAACTCTTTTTTTAATGCCATCCAATTTCAATACCATACCCCCCTCTCCGTCTATATGGTACATGCATGGCTATGTTCTTCTTGAAAGTATCCTCATTTCTCATCACTTCCCAAATTTTCCCTTTTCTCCCCCTCCGTTTTAATGATAAATGCATTGTACTTTTTCATTTTAATATTCCATCATTTCTCAACACCTCCCCCTTTTGAATTTGTCTTTCTCTCCCTGGAAGTGATGCATAATTGGCATGCTCTATCTTAATATACCCTCATTTCTCTCATCATCTCCCCCTTTAAAAGTTTTCTTCCTCTCGTTTGGGTTGAATATTAAGACATTACAGCTTCTAAAATGTTCGTATGACACCCCCCCCCCCCCCCCCCCCCCCCCGTTCCAATAATCAAAAATACATATATGGCTTATTATACTTACACAGAAGGATTTTTTAACTCAGCTGTAGCCAAATTCAAATTGTTCCTGTGAAGAAAAATACAAATAATGATACTTTAAACATGAGCACCTATATTATTTTTAAAGTTTTCAATCTATAGATCCAAACATTTAACAACAGGACAAATCGTTTATATACCAGACAACAACAACAACAAAAAACAAAACCAAAAACCAGTGAAATAAGATATTTTCGTGGGGCCCGAATTTCATTAATTCTCGACAAAGCACCATTTCGCGGGAACATCAATTCGTGGATTACGCGTACCCAATCAAACGAAGTTTAAAACTTGTTATTGCTTTATTGACCTTTGATTTTGTGTATAAAAATTACCCATGAAGTCATCGAAATTATAAAAAGAAAACCACGAAAATGAGTGATTTCAAAGTTATAAAGAAGAAGAACACAAGACAACCTCGTCTTATACTGCAGATAGGAAATATTAATGGTGTTTCTCTTATTTGTGAGATATTTGTTTGATAGTCATGACTTACCAGCCATCATAAGCCCAAAGTCCATTATAGAACGACAAAGCCAGTAGAGACAAATCTTCTTTTGTATCCTTAAACCCTTCGCTTATGTACACTGTGCTTCCTGCAAAATAAAACCATAGCAAAGTAGTTACAACGCCATGCTAGTACGTTACTGGTGCGCGCGAAACATTGTCAGGAAAATCGTATGGAATGCTGCTCTTGGTTGTATAAAGAAGGCATATGAAGTTAACAGAAGCTATCGCAGCATCCTTGATATTCAGGAGTTTCGCTCTATTTCGGTCTCTGCACCCCTCGAATATGCCATAGCAAAATTGAAGCATGCGGCTAGCTACTTGATTAGTGTCAGGTAAAAAACCTTACTACTCACTGATACCTGTCATTTGAAAATTACAGAGGAGCAACACCTCACTTCAGAGCCAGTAAGTTTTACCGTCACCGTCTCATCCACAAGGAACTGCACATTGAGCTTTCGAATTTGCTATTGCGTATTTCAGGGGTGAAGAGAGTGAAAGTAAGCGTAACCCCTGGATATCGGAGATGCTATCGCAGAAGAGCACATGCAAATACATATGTAAAAATTGTACTGGGTCACAGCACTGGTAACTGACTGAATACGTAGGTAAAACGTAAAAAAAAGTCTTAAAACAGTAATAGCACAAAAATAATTATCTTGAGAGAGCTGTCCATGTATGCTATCTAATAGCAGTTGGCGTCCAGACGCCGTTATCAGAAATGCGTTTACCTCGAAGAAAGTTAATAAACCAAATGTATACTTTCCTTAATTTCAACATAATTTTCATCTTTTTTTTTATTCAACACCTAAATCCTAAACAAAATATGATCACGTAATATAGAAATGTCGCAAGTTCAGTACCTAAAACGAACTCGGTACCATGACTTAGTTGCATTTTGTTTAATGGCAACAGCTTAACATCAGCTCAATGTAATTCAAGTTAAATTTTTATACTGTTTTAAATATAGATGTCATCATATTTGCTTTTATGATCGTGCAACTAGCATTTACATATTTTGAAAATAATACACGTTTTGAACATGAAAGAAAATCCATATGTATATATTCATATTAAATCCATTTAGAATGTCCAAGACTAAAGGATGATCAGAGGTTTACCTTGTGCGATTTTGACAATCCCCCCAATGATGATAATGGCGGCCGCCATTAGTTTGGTTGCTGTCAGCGTGTTCTGTACCAGCAATGCCGCATGGACGCTCATTGCATTGATGAAACCAGCAAGTGCTGGAATAATGAAAACAAGGGTCTATACAACCAAACCAGTGCTGAAAAGAGAAATAAATGCCAACACTAGGGCGCCTGACAGGGCTGAATGCGGCATTAGGTACTAAGGATATACCAATATGCCAACGAATAGTTAAAAACTGGCCCCTGTTTCAATAAATGAACAGAACTGATGGGTTTGGGTGTGTAAAAAAATCAAAAACATTTGATATTCTGGGTTTTGTTTTTTTTGTGGTTTGACATATGTATGTAGATTTAAATCATCACAAACATGTTAGTTTATCGTTTTGTTTTTATATTTTGACCTTATACAAGTTTTAGGTAAGGAGTTTCGTCAAGTTAAGAAGCTTTCATGAAAATAGGAGCAGGTAAACTAAATGGGAAAAAATTGGGTGGCAAGGTATGTGCCTTTGTACCTGTCAGGGCTGAAACAGTCACCAGCTAAACCTTTATAAAGAAAACATTTATTTATACTGCTTTACCTGCAAGGGTTGAAAGAGTGACCTAATCAACCTCTATATAGAAAACAATCAGTCATTTGAATCATTCTACTGTACCTAGCAGGGCTGACGGAGAATGGTATATAATACTGTACTTGCAAAGACTGAAAAAGGGACAGATAACTCGTGATTGGTATGGTCGTTTGATGTTGTTCTAAAGACATTTACCAGCGTACACGAATCTTGGTTATTTTGTTCAAATTTCAAAGTAACGAAAACAATTTATTGATCGATGAGGCATCTATACATTATATAACTTACGGAGAATTGGTGAGGGTGAACAGAATGGCCATAAGGTAAAACAAATTATGATAAGACACATGACCAATTAAATGTCTAATTGTATTGGTCCTTTGGACTTGTGAAATAAATATGTTATCACAGCATTACTTGGAATGTTATCAAATGAGACTATTCCCTTGAAAATCTGCTTAAAATACCCAAATACTCTATTCAACTTTTCCTTTGGTCTACCAACAAAACAAATTAGTGCATAACGGAATACCAAAAATCACGGAATGAACAGGAGGAAAGTAGTATAGGGATGTGATGAACATTTGAACAGCAGAAAGTTGCGAACAGGGAATTGAGTATCACTTGATCCGTTTGCATGCAGAAAGAACAACTACATGGTCCTATATGCATTTTTGCAATATCTGTTACATTGGAGACAGATATCATCTGTCTCTTATACTTTCGATATACAAATGAAAGTATTGAAAATATTATAGTATATATATATGTATATTTAATCGACAATCTTGTCATTATGTATATATATGCTCGTAATTTGCTGGTAAAGGGTTTGATATAAGTTTAATAACTTATGCCCAATCCATTTGCATGGAACTATAATATGTTTTAAAATAAATGAACTCTATGTAAGACACTTATTAGCTAGGCGTGTGTGTAGTTCCCTTGATATCACAACTACACGCTGAAGTAATCGGTGAGAATTAGAAATGTGATCCTGACCCAAATACAGACTCAAAAAAGTAAACAGGGATCCCACACGACAGGTATCGCAATACGACCCAGTGATGACGCTTTTACATTTCATCGGATACATTACAACATTATCAATGTGTTCTGGAACGTGACAAAATTTCTTGAGTCGTCAACAAAAGCTTGAAGGGGAGTTATACAGATGTTTTGTTTGGTTTTGTGTGACATTGTCAACAATACAGGCATGAGGATATATGTGTGTGTTAACTTAAGTGTGTATTTTTTTCACCGCCTCATCATGCACGTGCAAGGCGGTATGCATTTGTCGCATTTGGGGTAGTTTTCGTGACATAACAACAACACGTGTGAGAATGACATGCTTGTATGTCGCCTTTCAAATGACTTTTTCAACAATTAATACATGGTGGAGGTATGCACATTTTTGAAAAGTTTGAAAATTGAAAAGGCTTTTTACTTAACAGAATTAGCCACATATGATACTTTTTTTTAAAAGGAATATGCACCTATGTAGTAAACATCAGTACTATTTTCTTTTTACTACAGTTAAAAACTGTAGTGGACAATCACCAAATGTGACATATTATTCACATTTTAGTTGTTACTATTTCTTTTTGAATATCTATATACAAATAAAAAAGAGTGCTATTATAATCATTTACATTGTATCGTGTATAAAGTAATACGAATGAAAGACGTGTGGTAATTGCGATCCATTCTGCGTTTAGAATATTTTTATTGTTCGAGGGGTTAAGCCCAGTGATCCTCAAATTTGGCTAATCCTTATATTTATGCAAAAGTACATTAAAATGAATATCTCATAAGATATTAATGTAAGTATACGTTATTGCTTACTGAGGAAATAAAAAAAAAGTTCAAACCTTAAAAAAAACAATATTCTAATTTTGTATATATTTTTAGTTTCCATTCTTTATGTCATAAAAAAGACATAAGAGAAATATTGTTCTTTAATAATCGGTAACATGGCCAGGATGAAACAGATGTCCAATTGAGGTTTGAATATTTTTTGTTGCTTTATTTGTTTATTTTCTGACTCGATTGTCAACGAGTTTTTTCATAACCTTATACGAGTGAATTTTTTATACATACAATTTTACCAGTGTTGATATCACCACGCGAAGATGCGAATACATCACCTGACTAGAAATAGGTCTATGTGTAAATGATGCAAACCGATTACGTTACTTATTCAATGTCCAAAATGATATCAACGTACAGCTTTATTGGTCGTAATGTGCTGTATCTATGTATAAATTAGTAATTAGATACACACGCTTAGAAAACCATCCCAGTTCTATTTGTGCAGCAAAATACGTTTTAACATTTCTAAAATTACCCTCGTTTTTATATTAGCAGTGCGTAAGCATAAATGAAATACTCGTCATTTAATTTTGACGTCGCAATCTAAAAATTGTGTCAAATACGACACTTGCAGTTGATTAATGATGCAATGCTGTAAGACACACACACAAGCGACTGAATCTTTAATATTTAGACATAGATATAATCTAAACTGGTGCTTAACGTAAGAGGACGTGCGTAAAACCGCTTAATTTTCTGATTTTCAAATAATGATAATAATCATTATTTAACGTCATGTACATTGTCAACAACAAACATAAGCTCTGAAGAGCTAATCCCACGGGCTACCGCTGGGGTTCGAAATTCTTTGGGGGTGAGTGGTCTGAAGCTCACGCTGATCATCGCACACAGTAGTAATGACTGTGCTCGTTAGCAATCACGGCTACCGAGGCACCAAGAAGGAATGGAGTACTATTATATTCAATATGTACATTTTGAACCGTATGATTACTCAAAAAAAGGATTCGCGTGGCTATCAATGCGACGGCAAACCTCGGGGACTAAGAAATCGAAATGCACCATAGCTTCGACGGCAATTTAATGCAAAAAAACCATCTGGTATTTGACAACGACGCTGCAGTTGACTTGGTAATATGCTGTACAAAGAGCACAACAGTCGATGAAGCATTTTGCCCTAGTTTTATCAATTTTGAAAATTTGAATGAATAGCAATTCAAAGCAATAAAGAAAAGGCATCTTATGCTGATAAATTTAATGATCGAGCTTAATAAGACGTTCATACTGATCTTTAAATATTTTAGAAAGTGCTTCATTTATGCAATGGTAAAGATTGATATATTTAGTTTTGGAATAGATCTTTTTATAATTTATGATTGTATGCATCACAGTTCACACGTATTATATGATGCACGGTAGCACGTTGGTTTGGTTTAGTATTGTTTAACGTCCTATCAACAGCTATAGTCAGCTATGCGTGTCGTGTTTGCGTGTGTGATTTGGGAGGCTGCAATATGTTCGTGTTTGTCTCCTTGTGATAGCGCGGAACTGATGCCGACTCCATAGTGCTACCTCACTGAAACATACTGCCGAAGACACCAAGCAGGACACCCCACCCGGTTACATTTTACTGACAAATGGCGAACCAGTCGTCCCACTCCTAAATTGCTGAGCCTTATGCAGGAGTAGAAACTACCATTTTTACAGACCTTGGTATGTCTCGGCCAGGGGACAGAACCCAAAGGGTCGAACGCTCAACTAAAGGTTAAAAGTGAGGCGTTGTCAAGGGAGATATTAGGAAGAAGAAATTAGATTAGAAAGAAGAGAAAAAATCAGATCCCAAATTTGCCTCTTACGATCATGCAATGGGGGCAGCAGGTACAATTCTTCCGCCCTACCAGTGGGGACATTGAGGATATGTTTGAACGGAACTGTGTTGCATACAACCATAAATGTTAAAAGGATCTATTTCAATCCTAATATTAATGCTTTACACATATCAGGATGGTAACAGATACTTCCTTTCTCTAGGCAGAATTACAACCATGCGGAATGAAATATTTCAAGGACTAATAAAGGGGACTTTTACCAATAAACATGATGTTGAAGACTTATATGGCGTATGTTGGGGTCTAACAAACAGATACGGACCTTACCCATTGACATTATAGTGACGGTTTTGATGACGGCAGTTGGGGCCTCACAATCTCCGTACCAGGGCTGCGTGGCATACGTTCCCAGACTCAGAGCCATAATGGCGAACATGGAGGGGCGAAGGACAAATACGCCGAGCCAGTCAAACAGGAACACGGGTAGTCTCCCAAAACGTCCCATAGGCATGAACGTTCTTTTAAAGTACGCATGCTCGCCTCCAGATTCCTGGATGACCGTACCTAGTTCGGCGTATGTAAGGGCACCTGAAAGTAGGAGAGTAAACATATAATCTTTATCACATTTTTATCAGTAAAGTACAACGTTGCGGACTGCGATACCAAACAAATTCGTGATTTGTTTTTAAATAGTTAAATGCGCAGCAATACTTTCATTGTTAATTAAATGTATATAGCTTAAAAGATATGTGATATTAAAAAGGTGCAACACTATATCTAGGTAGGATATTATTTGAATTTGAATCTTTGAGTTGTCTTTAATGTTGAAAATAAACAAATAAAAAGCACAAAACCTCGGAAATATACCAAACTAGATTTGTACAGTGGATGGTCTTTTTTTGTTGTGCTTTCATTTAATTTTCATCATGAACATTGCTCGTACAACTTGTCACCACATTAGGTGGAACATGGCTTATATTATATGTGAAGTCATTGAAAATAAATCACCCACGAAAGTTAACGATTTTACAGTAGTTAAGATCATAGGAGTGTATTGATAAAAGGAAATAAGAAGTACATCCACAGTTGAAAATCCAATGTAGGGAGACAGTATCACAATATTTCCGCATATTCTAATGTTTGATATTAAACTGATGAAAATTGTATGTTTATTATTGACAGAACAGTGTGTTCTCTCAATATTAAAGTATTTCAAAGCAATCCAGGCATAAATTCAGTTGTTTTTTATCAATGAGTCCCATTTGTCCATTTTTCGGTACTTCAGGAAACCGGCTACCTATTTCACTTCTGTGAAGTTTTTCAAGGTTAAATACTATGTGTATATGGTTTTATTAAAAAATGTCAATTTTTAATCGTTTATAGATAATTAATTTAACACAATTTCAGCATTTATTAAATTGATATAGATTAATGCTATAACAATCTATGTCAGTATCATTTTATTGACATTGTTTTTCAAAAAATTGTGTCTTTCATTTTTTTCTCTCTCAAAATTCACTCATTTTTACATACATTTCCATTTAAAATCCTTAAAATTCTGACAACCGATATTTTTTTTTGTTGCAGAAAATTTTCTGTAATTCAAAGCAATATAACTACAAAATTTGAAGAAATTCTACCGAGAAATGGTGACACAATCCGATTACCCTAAAATCACATTTTATTTCGTTTACTGATTTCTTCCTGCAATTCCTATTTACATTAGTAGTATGATAACACTACTGAAATTTCAAGCAATACAACATTGTATACAACTGTCCATGGGTGTGTACTACATAATATCATGTTTTTCTTTCTTATTTTTACTGACAACCAGAGCGAAACGGCAAACAAATGACGACAATCATTTTGAATAAAATCACGGATCTTATTCATACATACGTAGTACATCCCTTAATCTACCCTTTTGTTAAAGAGTAACCTGATGTGGACAGCCTATCTTTTATAAACATTCCAGCTCCAATATTCTGCCTGTATTCCGCATGATTCAGGTGATACGTGTAATTGTCGATGGTGTCCTACTTAAACTGTTTCTATGAATTTTTAACCAAAATCACGCTGACAATCAGTCCTCGGGACCAACTTAAATCTCAAGCATTTTATTCATTCTAACTTTTAAGCGATACAACAGAAAAAAATCTTTTACGCATGCTTGGACACTTGGACATTTTTCGCTGCACTTCAATTTTCGCCTTTTGCGCCCTCCGTAATGAAGGCGAATTTATCATTACAGCGAAAATACATTTGTAAATTAATAGATTAATAAACATATAGTAATTAAATGTTACACATTAAAATGTTAAAATGTGTTCATACTAATATTATGTCTTTATCTCTGCGTGAACTGTAAAATGATTAACACAAAATGTAAATTTAAGTATTGGTTGTCATATTTTTGACATGCAATGGTGTGTAACATACATTGGCTTACCTACATATTCAACGTGGTGCTCTAGCGCGCACCATTCAATATGTAGGTAAGCTAATGTATGTTACACACCAATGCATGTCCAAAATATGACAACCAATCGTTAATTATTATAGTTAACCTTTTCGTTGACTCACCAAACATAGCCAGAAGCCCACAGGATGCCCACACTACCAGACTCATCCCAATGGATCCCGAACCCTCCAAAACGCCTCGGGGGGACACAAAAATCCCTGATCCTAGAATTTAAACAACAAAGAAAGCCTGCTCACAGTATAAATTGTGGTTACACAATTGCCCCAGATGTAGGCTAATCCTTGTATACATACTTGTTCTTATTTGTAATTGGAGTGTTCTATATACCATCAAATCACCAAACTTTGTAAATAAAGAAAGAAATATAAATTAAATAGTTATCAGTATATGAAGTGCAACATTTTATCAAAGAAGAAATAATGGGTTGACAAAATGCTTGAAGAATACGCTGAATATTTATTTTCATGATCCATGCACTATTGCAGGCAAAACTGTAGAGAACTCTATATTTTTGTACATACAGTAACCTTCCCTTAGTTTTGATTGTATCTACATATATATATTTATTTGTAAATGTAGCGCGACTGAGGAAGGAGAATATTTGTTTTTTATTTCCCATCTATTATTTTTTTCATAATAGACCTTAAAACAATGTTTATTTTTCTATAGATATGCTGGGAAAACAGTTTCCAGCGCATAGCTATAGCATGGTAGTGTAATGGGGATCCCACAATTAAATATGTTATAATGATATTGTATTCCGTCTTTGCGTATTGCAGAGTTATCTTCTCTTGTAAGTAGGTATTGATTGTTACGTCATTGGTTAGTGTGAGAAAATTACGTCGTTTTCTCAAAAAATGATGACGTTACTCTCACAAACAAATGACGTAACAATCAATACCTGTTCACAAGAGCAGATAACTCTGCAATACTCAAAGACGGAATACAAGCAATAAGTATAGTTATTTAAATTTAAATAATCTCAATACCTATCATAGTTCCTACGATGAGAGCCGTCCCACTCATTAGTCCCATGTTCTTCTTAAGTTCGATTGGGGTCACCAACTCATGAACTGACCCGGATCGTTTCTCCGCGTCTGGGGGACAATGGTGGTACCCGTTGGTATGATTGCCATTATGTAGGCCATTCTGGTGTTTAGGGTGAGAAACGTGGTCCTGACTCCGCCCAGTCATGTTTCACTGTGTGTTCCTTTGTTGTTTTCTACAATTTAAATCAATCGCACGATAAAAACTTATCGAAATCGCGTTTGTGATGTAGACACCATGGGCTTTTCAGCGAGAATATACTGGATGGAAACTGTGCAACAAAATCTAAAACAAAAAGTATAAAAATCCTTACAATGATCCCTTCAATTAGTAATGACAATTCCTGTCAAAGTCGGTCAAGAAAAAATGTTTTTTCCCAGTTTACGCATAATCTAGTTGGATTAAAGATCATACAAACTAATCATATATTCATATTAATAAAAAATGTATAAATTGCAATAAGATCAAGATGACGAAAATAAAGTTTGCCTATAGTTTGTCAAGCTGCATTTCCTGAAACCCTTTATTGTACTTAGTTTTCAATTTGCATTTCGGAACACTATAGACGTTTTCTTATATTTGACCTTTAATACCACTCGTGAGTCCTAAATAGGCGAAATGGATATATGATGCAGTTTAAATTTACTGGCTTGGCTTTCTGGATCTATTGAAATTGTTTTTTCATGCCAGTACGGGACGGAAGGTGATGGTAGGGGAAGCAAACATTGGTAGCCGAGTGGTTACGGTTTCTGCTGTCTCTGTTGCACCCTCAAACCAAAGAACCTACGCTGAAGATTGGAGAGTTCTCTGCTACACCCTCCAACCCGAGACAACCAAATAATCACCCTGAGGGTTGGAGAGTTCCCTGCTACACTCTCAAACCCGAGACAACCAAATAACCACGCTGAGGATTGGAGATTTCTCTGCTACACCCTCAAACCCGAGACAACCAAATAACCACGCTGAGGATTGAAGAGTTCTCTGCTGCACCCTCAAACCTGAGACAACCAAATAACCACGCTGAGGATTGGAGAGTTCTCTGCTACACCCTCACACCCGAGACAACCAAATAACCACGCTGAGGATTGGAGAGTTTTCTGCTACACCCTCAAACCCGAGACAACCAAATAATCACCCTGAGGGTTGGAGGTTTCTCTACTACACCCTCGAACCCGAGACAACCACTGTTATACACTCAAGGTAAGGGGTGATTATTTTTCCCTCGTTACTCCAATTAAATGTTTAGAAACAAAAGTTTTCAGCTTTTGTAATCTGTTTGCGATCCTGACTTGCACATGACATCTCCTGTCAAGAGCCGATTATGACGTCTTTAGTATTATTTCTTTCTGCGTGCAGTCTATCATATCCTAGGGGGGTGACAGAACAATTTTGAATTGGTAATACGGATGACAATTAAGTCAAAAGGGGTTGACTGTTATATATCTTTTGAGCTGCATCAAGCAAGTACCTCAACTTTCACGGGTTCAAATATCCAACAGTTTTCAGGATCTTTTGTCGTCCATTCTTCGAGATAGAAGGTGAAAGTTTTTACCTAAACACGACGCCTTCTTAATTTAAAAAAAAAACTTACTGAAGTAATACCGAAGTGAGCTATTGATTCCAAAAGCATAAAACCTTTGTCAAAGTATCGCTCATCTCGAGGATTTTTTTTATATTTGCACCTGTCAATCTTATTATCCTCAACACATATAAGACGTAATGCTACGGTCTTTCGACATTCAATGCGGCCTTGGTCTAATGTTGTGTAATGCTTAACTGGCAGCTTTTATCTTGGTTAATAAATGAGTATCCACACGCTGAACAAGGTTTGTCGCAGCTCATCAAGAACAATGTGAACATTACAACAATTAAGGTTTATTACTAGTTGAGTTCCTTACAAAGGCATTACTGTTGGTGTGCGTTTGGCAATCATGGTTCTAACTTTACAGTTTTGCATATTTTATGTAATGAAAACCCATATACAGAGACTTAATTTTGCGGAATCATAAATTAGCGAAATGTTTAAAGCGCAAAAAAATAGAATACTGCTAAAATATAACCGTTTACAGTATATGTTATCATATATTTACACAAGCTTGCCCTACCTGCAGGGAGCCCCATACAAGATTCAAGATGTATTCAAACTTTAGGCTGTACACGTGTAAGCCCATCAGTAAATGAAACAGAACACAATATAAGGAGAATGTAGAGCGATGATGTTCATTTAAATATATGATAATTAATCAAGGGGTTCCTAATTTGTTAGTTCATAGATAAATTTCCCAAACATACATAGCTGTTCTATTCTGGACACTTAACAACTGAATAGCCTTAAAAAACAGAAGCATTCTTCCAATCATATTTTTTTTAATAAACCGCACTCTAACATTTTGAAATTAATTAAAAAATAATAGAAAGTGAACTTCATCTTCCACTTCAGTTGGAATTACATTTATTACAGTGCCTTACTTCTCTAGGACTTTTTTTTTTATATCTTCCAGTCTTAATAGTCAGTAAAAGTGTAGAAGTCCGTTACCTGGAGAGACATATTCTATATTTCATACAAACAAATTAAAATTATGTGTTTTTCATTTTTCGAGTTAAGCTATACATTTAATTTCTTTTATGCTTCTCTTGCATCCTTGAGGAAACGAGACATCCACAATAGCAAATGGTGTGTCTATGATGACGACGAGAAAGTCTACCAACAATCGAGGGTAATTACCTGAGGCTTAAACCTAAATAGATTTCACCAGCGATCTGGCGGTTTAACTTTGCTGTCTCTCTTACCCAGTGTCTAGCGCAGCTCATATCAAGTTTAAACTAGTTCTATCCGGATTTTACTAGTCTGGGCCGCGCAAGACTATTCACGCACCAGTCACCGGATGGTGCGATGTTTTTCTTTTGTCAAATATGTGTACAGTTTTGTTACACTTGTTTGAGTAGGTGCATTTGTATTAACCCTTTCACCTCTAAGTAACTTTGGTAGACTCTACGTATACCATACATTTATCTTGGCGAGTCCACTTAAACTCTACAGTGGTGAAAGGGATAATAATGTCTAAACGCACTAGGCGTCCTAAGGTTTTTTGAATGTACAAATAGTTTAATGCAAAGAGACCATGGAGAGATTCGATGGACTGAAGAAAGTAAATTTAAAGGGGAGAAATAGAGCAACTGTTACAGAGCGAACAACAACAAGAGCTTAGGGTGGGGGTGGGTGTATATCAAACTATTTTTTTAAGTTAAAGGGCAATGGGGTGTCACGTTAGCTGATGACGACACCCCCCTTGCATATTTACGCATTTACGTCATCAAAATATCGAATTATGCAAATAACCAGTTCTGAAGAAGTCATAATGGTATTGTTCTACCAGAACCTGTATATGTATGTTACGTAGTATCATTGTTTCGTAGGGACTGTTTCTCTTTGTTAGCATTGACTGTTATATGTTGTGATATGTAAGTGTTCGTGTTCCTGTCTGGAAAAGAAAGCGGATTGTCTTGAACAATATTGATTTGTCTGCACTGTCGTTATTACTTCTCTGCTTATAATTTATATCTATTGACGTAATACGTAACCAAGGAACATGTGTTTGCTGGGATCCAGTGCACATAGTTGATCCTATCACCATCCCGTCAGTATGTCAATGTCCTATAACTAGGTTTGACCCAGTTAATGAACTTGGTAAATATGACCTGAACGACATGATGCGTGAAATATTCGGAACGTCATTGACAAAATGAATGAAGATGAGTAAAAAGATATTTGATATACTTCTTATACTTATATAGTAGGTGTGCTCAAAGCGTGTATATATGACTTATAATATATACAATATATTATCAAAAATCCATTTACTTGTCATTATATACAAATACACACATATTAATTTTATGATCTACAATAGAAGTGTCCAACTATTCAACTATTTGTCATTTTAAATATGTATATACAAATTTTGCTCGGACGCGGTGCCAATATTGGATCATACTGTCGTTATTACTTATGAGACATATTTATACAAAACAATGTGATATATATGCAGTTTTTCCATTCGGAGGGGCTGACAATCTGCTACCACTAGCCCTCCACTACTGTGTCCTGGGTTCGAGACCTACATGGGGCAGTCGCCAGGTACTGGCCTTTGGTCGGTGGTTTTTCTCCGGGAACTCCGGCTTTCCTCCGCCACCAAAACGTGGCACGTCCCTAATTGGCAATATAGCTGTTAATAGAAAGTAGTACACAAACACACCAGATTATCAATTAGTGATGTTTGCCTACCTGTGCGATCTCCCTCGTAATCACCCAAACTAAAAGGACAGGTAACGCACGTTCCACCTGGAGATCGACCTTGGTAACAAGAACCTAATGAACCAATTAGATCATGCACATCCAGTGGCGTTAACATGCCATACTCTGTTTGGGTATTTTTAAGTGTGCATTGTCAACCGGTTGGATCCAGTTATACTGTAGTAAAACCTGATAATATATAGGCATTGTAAAGAGATACAGACGGATGGAGCAATCACGTGATCTATTTGGGACATTTTCATTGGTTGAATTCGACCACGGCACGGATCGTCAATCGACGTGTGAATGAGCCGGGTATCGTCCCACCACACAGAGATGAGATGTACGCAGCGCATCAAACGGTTCAGAGGTAATTGCAATCCGATACAGCCCATCTGTATATGTGTACAATACATATATATAAATTATTATAAGGGATTTCAAAAGCATATTGGCGTGATCACAGGGACCTGAGAATTTGTCACAGTTTTATTTGAACCTTAACTAAGGTGTTCAGAGTAATTTTCCACGATCATCATTGGGCATGGCATTTTTAGTGACAGTTAATGTAAACCCCTCAAATGTGTTTAATTAGTCTCAATACTTCAGTTAAGGTGCAAATATGATATAGTTGTTGTAACAAATTCGCAGGTCTCCGTGTCTTAATAACTCTTATCACAGTCTGTACATTTAAGGCGTTTTGGGGGTCTAGATCAACACTGGGTGAGTGAAAAAGGGTCGACGAATCTCACGCAGGCACAACCAAAAGCTTACGATACATCGGAAAATGTATATATAGATGCAAAAACTCATTTATTTGCGAAGAGTATTGAAATGTCACGAAACGCACACATAAAAAGAGCCGTTGAGACCTTGACTATTCAAAGAATAGCAATACTCTTAACAAAAAACGTCAAATTGCATGGGTTCTGAGAGAAGGTAGATGTCATGCCTTGCACTTTGCGCAGATATAGAATTTTGTAAAAGAACAGTTAATTATCCATACTTCAATTGATGCCAAGTATTTGGTATGCCTGCCATAAATGCTTAATTTCGAAAGCCTTCCACCCTTTTTTCATACAACAGATACATATACCTTATAGAGATTAACTAGGTCATGTAGTTAAGCTGACATTCATAATAGTACACTACATAATAACTAGGTCAAGAATAGTCACTGTGACCTACATTATGAACGCTTCATAATTAACTAGGGCCGTTTTCGTTTAAACGGTTAAACTGGACGGACCACATGCAGTTGTTCGTTTATTAAATAACGTCGGCCTACTAATCTGATGCTGCTATCAGGCGAGCCTTGACAAACACGTGCAAGGCCTGTATAAACATTTGCAGGTCCGCCAGGATGTATACCCAAAAGTGTTACATTTAAAAGGACAAACCGGTTGTTCCGCATAAACGAGCAAGCCCCTGGCCTATTAGTGAAGACGACTATCAATATCGTACACTACATAATAACTAGGTCAAGAACAGTCACCGTGACCTCGCTATTAAACACTGCATAATTAATTAGGTCATGAGATCGAGGTGAGCCTCGCTATAGTAAAAATCAGAGCTAACTACAAGTTACAAGTTTTATTACATCCAAATGCAATACAGCACATAGGTTACAAACAAGATGGCGGAGGACAATTCCATTCAAATACATATATGCCTACAGACATGTAATAATGGTATCACTTGCAGTTTTACAGCATGATTGTTCGTAAAGATGTGAGAAGTATATAACAATATAATCATATGTGTGACTTTACTACCTGTATATATATGTGACGACATGAAAGGATGACATCATAATGAAAACACTACACATAACTTCAAACAGCCAGAAAGAACCATGGGATGTCATTAAAGTACTATTTAACGCGCTATTAACGAATCTTAAATAACTATTATTATACATGTACACGTATAACAAAGTTGATTCAAATAATGTTTTGATATAATATCACTACTGAGCGAGGAGAATTTTCCTTTTAGAAGTAGCGTGCCACAAATATTTACCCAATCTATTTAAAGATTTAACACTTTTACAGGTAAATAATTCTATTAGTTTATAGACACTTCGATGACGATAATAATACTGTTTGATGTATGTTTTTCTTAAATCAGAATATGCAGGACAAAGTAGTACAAAATGTACTTCATCTTCGATATCATTTTTATCGCAGACTGTACATATTCTCTGACCTCTTGGAATGTTATTATAGCGCCCAGATTCTATGTTAAGACTGTGTGCTTGCATGCGAAATTGACTCAATAACTTTTTTATCCTTATATTAATGGGCTTAGTCAGATAGAACTGGACGCAAAAGGTATCAACAAGATGCTTGCACAAATAACATTTTGAAGATGCATCAAAAGCACTGCGTAATTCTTGGATAAATACATCATGAACACGTTGAGCATACATTTGCAAAAAAAAAAGATTTTCATTTTGTACATATTGACAAGTCCAAATATAATTAAAACCCAAACTACATAGTTCACGCTTAATTTGATAAACCCAATTAATTTTACAATTAGGTTTTCTGATATTCAATTCGACTAATGCGTCGTAACATGATTTTAAAACACATACTAGTATTTAATTTTTTTAACCAATATCACATTATGGCCATTTTACGTTGCACATATAATGAATATCGCCCAGTTTCAAAGTAAACCATAGAAGTATTGACAGTTTTCTTAACATTTAATAGGTATTTGAGAAAAAGGAGATGGATTTTTTCAATTTGTGGCGATACATTATGCCCCCAAACTTCACACCCGTAATTCAATATACATGCAACATATGTATCGAGTAAAGACATTATAGTTTCCGTATTTAGGGCAAAATCTTTCATTTTTCTTTTTAAGTGGTAATATGCTTTCCGTCCTTGACAAGCTAATGTATCTTGTGTTACAGTAAATCTTCCATTATAGTTAAAAACTAATACAAGATAACAAAACTTATCAACAATTTCGATAGATTTACCATTGAAAGTCCAAGTAACTAAGTAGGCAATGATTGAGGAAGATCCGTCTTTAGTATTTAATACAGATCAAGATTAACCAGGCAATTACTTCTATTTGGGCGGGTTGGTTGAGTGGTTAACACTCCGGCCTCCCAAGCAGGCGGCTGGGGTTCGATCCCCGAAGTCTTCGTACGCATGGAATATTCAGAGAAAGTGTTTTTCTCCTACCAACACAACTCCAACAACCCAGGTGTAGTATAAAATGGTCTGGGGTAGATGTTGCGGTATCTGTTCTGTAGCATTCAAGTGAGGTGATACCGTTGGAAGCACGGTTCCACTACAAACAGAACACAATACATTTCCAGCACACACGCAGGCAAATACACATAGGGAGATATTAGCCAGTTGGCATGACTAGTAGTTAACGCCTAAATAAGGCAACTCCTGCGAATTCCTCAATATTGTATTGATTGATTTATATGCTAATTGTGTGCATTGTGTTAAATTGAACATCTATGTAGTGTAAAGCGCTTTTGAGTGGTTTATGTTAGCTAGATAGGGCGCTATATCAAATATTGTATATTCATTTTATTTATTATTTACAATTGAATTCCTGTATGAACATGATCCATATAATCAGCATTACATCTTAAAATCGTATGTTAATTAAATACAACAAATCCTCTCGGAAGTGTTCAAAAATAAATGTGTATAACCAATTATTTAGGAATCACAGATGTAAAAATTTGTCGATTATAAGCGTTAACAATTTTTGTCGAGATAATTCGACAAAAAATGTGTTTGAATCCTGCTTCTTTTATATCCTTTCTCGTACTTACCGTCTTTTTGTTGCTGATACCTGTGCATCTGATTTTAGTCTGTGTGTGTATCGTTGTCTGTGTGTATATCGTTGTCTGTGTGTGTATCGTTGTCTGTGTGTGTATCGTTGTCTCAAAGTGTCTGCTGCTGTCCGTGAATGTGTGTTTTTACTAGCGCGTCTGTTGTTGTCTATGTATATGTTGTTGTCTGTGTGTCTATTGTTGTCTGTGTGTCTGTTGTTTTCTATGTATATGTTGTTGTCTGTGTGTCTATTGTTGTCTGTGTGTCTGTTGTTGACTATGTGTCTGTTGTTGTCTATGTGTCTGTAGTTGTCTGTGTGTGTTGTCTATGTGTCTTGTGTTATCTATTTGTCTGTTGATTTCTATGAGTCTGTTGTTGTCTATGTGTCTGTTGTTTTCTATGTGTCTGGTGATGTCTATGTGTCTGTTGTTGTCTATGTATCTTGTGTTATCTATGCGTCTGTTGTTGTCTATGTGTCTGTTGTTGTCTCTGTGTCTGTTGTTGTCTATGTTGTAGTTGTCTGTGTGTCTGTTGTTATCTCTGTGTCTGTGATTGTCCGTGTGCCTGTTGTTGTCTATGTGTCTGTTGTTGTTTATGCGTCTTTTGATGTCTATGTGTATGTTGTTGTCTATGTATCTGTAGTTGTCTGTGTGTCTGTTGTTGTCTGTGTATCTGTAGTTGTCTGTGTATCTGTTGTTGTCTGTGTGTCTATGGTTGTCTGTGTGTCTGTTGTTGTCTATTTGTCTGCTGTTGTCTGTGTGTCTGTTGTTGTCTATTTGTCTGCTGTTGTCTGTGTGTCTGTTGTTGTCTATTTGTCTGCTGTTGTCTGTGTGTCTGTTGTTGTCTATGTTTCTGTTGTTATCTATGTGTCTTTTGTTATCTATGTGCCTGTTTTTGTCTGTGTGTCTGTTGTTTTCTGTGTGTCTGTAGTTGTCTGTGTGTCTGTTCGTCTGTTGTTGTCTATGTATATGTTGTTGTCTGTGTGTCTATTGTTGTCTGTGTGTCTGTTGTTTTCTATGTATATGTTGTTGTCTGTGTGTCTATTGTTGTCTGTGTGTCTGTTGTTGTCTATGTGTATGGTGTTGTCTATGTGTCTGTTGTTATCTATGTGGCTTTTGTTCTCTATGTGTCTGTTTTTGTCTGTGTGTCTGTGGTTTTCTGTGTGTTTTTTGTTGTCTAGGTGTCTTGTGTTATCTATGTGTCTGTTGTTGTCTGTGTGTCTGATGTTGTCTGTGTGTCTGTTGTTGTCTATGTTTCTGTTGTTATCTATGTGTCTTTTGTTATCTATGTCTCTGTTTTTGTCTGTGTGTCTGTTGTTTTCTGTGTGTCTGTTGTTGTCTATGTGTATGGTGTTGT